TAAGAACAAACCATGAATACCGGCCAATAACATACAAGAAATATGATATTTTATTATAGAGATCTTACAAGTTTTTATTGCAACACACGAAATAATATTTACAACTTATACATACAAACAATTTATTTAAAATGGTAATTCCTTTAATACAATTATTACATATTTATTATTATTAACTAATTATAACTAAATTATATAATTTAGTTGGCAATAAATCAAATAATATAATAAATACTGTGTAAAAAAATTTATAAGATTTTCTTAAAACAAGATAAATGCTTTAAAAATTTGAAATAGTAATACTATCTCTTTTAAATAAGGTTCACTTTTCTAATAAATAATTTATATGAAAAAAAATAATAAATAATTTCTTGGAAGGAAAAAATATAAACAATATTTAAATATAATACAATTATTGTTTCAATTACAATTTCTACGTGAAGTAATATTTAACACAATGATTTAACAATTTAGATGGCATAAAAAAAGTGGATATTAAAAATATATCACGATATAAATCTATGAAGCGATATAAACATTTTTTTTTTAAATATATTTTGTAGTCTTTTAAATTTTTTTACAAAATCAGAATAAAGAAAAACATTAATTTACTAAAAAAATATTGTCAAAAAAGACATATTTTACTTTTGCAAATTTAACTAATGATGTACCCTTGTACATGTGTAATACCCATCAACATGTCCGTTAGGAATAATTAATTTATATCGTGTATAAATAATTAATTATCCAATATTTTCATATGAAAAAGTAACATATTTTAAAGACTGTTATTCAGATCGAGACGTGGCCTTTTACTGCGTACTGTAGATGCATCATCCTGAGAGTCCCCATTGGTAGACAAAAATTCTCTCTTTCTATCTGCATTCTGTAGAGTTTCATATTTATGATTAAAAATATCCGTAAAAAGTTATATAATAAAAATTAGCAATATACTTGTGTGTAATATTATTAATTATTAATATACTGTTGAATCAAATGATAAGGCACCTTGCTACATCATGAATGTCTTTATGTCTGTATTATATAAATGAAGGAAAAGAAGACAACTAATAGAAAAAAACTAGGAAAATCTGTCTTGGATATTTCTAAAATGAAAGAAAAGAAGAATTCAAAACAAATAAAATGTCGATATTATTTAGAACTTTCTACATGTAAATTTAAGGAAAATTAAATATAAAATAACGAAATCATAAAATATAAGTACATTATGATTTATTCTGTTATCTTCACAGCCAAAAAAATATACAGATATATCGATATTCATTAATAAAAAAAATATATATTTAAATAGTTCTGATTGGAAAGCTAAGATATATACTTAAATCTTATAGAAAATGCATTTTGAAAAATTTAATAAAACTATACAAAATGGAAAACAACAATAATCTTAACAAAATAAAAATCACAATTTTATGTATTATACAATCCTGAAGATTAAAATTCTTTAACAAGCCAAATATGAGTTTATCTAATAAAATGATTAAGATAACTTTTTTTATAATAAAGGTAGACCTATTAATTATATGAAAAGGATACTAGTTTTATTTAATTACAATGTTTTTTTTGTATTTTAAGGACAAAATTTCATAATTTTGCTAAATTTAGAATTCATCATTTTTTCCAAATTAAAAATTGATTATATACTATCCATTTATTTTACATAAATATTATTAAAGAAAATGATTTCTATTTATTACATTATTCTGTTTAACATGCAAACTAGTATTCTAAAAATTTTTATAGTGTTTTATCAATTATTTTGC